TGTATTTTTAGAATAGATGGTAAACAAAGTCGACAACTGAAATATTATCACAGAAAATAAGCGGCAGAAGGGAAAACCTTCTTACAGTTTGTTTACTTCTTATTTTAGGTACAATATAATCTGATAAAGGAGAACATGTGTAAAACAGTAGTCATCTTCATCAAGGAGAAAAAATATGACAGAATGTAGCCAGAGTGCTAGGTTTTTGGTGCAAGGTTTTTCAGTAGTTATATTTTCAATAACTGTATAAATCATACTTATAGGAGGAGCTTTTTTTTCAATATTTTCCAGTTGAAAAATGGACAGTTAAGAAAGCCTGGCCCGTATTTGGTATATTATTAAGGAGAATTATGTGTGTGTGTGTGTAGACAAGGATGTCTTTCTTGGAAAATAAATCAGATTCGGAAACTCCACAGCATATCTTTTTCATTATGTATTGCCAAAGTAAATTTTAATGTTAATATTTTTTGTAAAACAAGATGCAGTATATAAGTTTATCAGATCTGTGTCATCCCATTGTTGATTTAAAATATTGTTATGTTTATATGTGTGTGTGTGTGTGTATACATATCTATATATAGTTCAAATGTAATTTTTCAAGAAGAAGCTTAATTTGTGTTATAGCATAGAACAGCTTTGTTCTCTTTAGAAAGTTAGGACAAACGTAGCAAAGAGAGCATTATTAATTAGAAGATTAACTGATGTTTATGAACTATTTTTCCTTTAATCTTTCAGTGATGACAAAAGTGGGATTAGGTTGTCTGTTAATCGATGTTTTGTCGATGATCGTTGGTCAAAGAATCGCACAATTACTAGTTTTGACTGGTCTGCTCAAGTAAGTTTTATCTTCCAAAAGTTTGGAAAAGTAAGGCATTTTTGTCATAATCCCAAGGTTGAATGACTGAGGTTTTTAGAATCCGTAGACTGCTTGAGCTTGCAAACAGGAAGTTAGTATTGTTTTCAACAGAAGCTGTGCCACAGTAACTTTTACTTGGCAGTGCCTAATGTTCTCAGCACAAAACATCATATGTGCTTATTATACAAAGAACAACTATCAAAAGACTGTTAATAGTAAGGCATCATATGATAAAAACACTGGTGTACATGAACAATTTCATGTATCAATAAGATAAACCACAATACTGTCAGAGTATCCAGACACTAATAAGTTGGTTCAAATATTTGTGAAATAACTTCAAGCAAATAGAAATGTTGAAAGAAGAAACAAGATTTATGATCCATTCATTTTCAAACATAAGAAGAAAAAAATGAGTGGATCTTACAAATTAGCCAAAAGTAGTTGAACAAAAAGATAATTTTTAATGCTATCTCTCAAATATCCTGTTGTATAGCTAATGCATAAGAAATTAGTTATATTAACTATTTAAACCCATAATTTTTTACACATTATGGTGTTGATCTGAAATTTATTTCAACACCAAAGAGTGTTTCACAGAACTTCCAGTCTATTTATGAAAGGTGGATATAATATGGTTTGGATTAGCCAAAGAGGCATAAATGTTATTAGACACTGTCCAATGAGTAAATTAGGACTTTCAGCCAGATGCTGATAGCATCAGCTTGGGTTTAAGGAGTTAACTATAACTTTGCACTTCCAAATTGTTTTTGAAATAAGCAACATTCTAGATGTTTGTCATGAACTACCAGTGTCCTGTATATTGATATGTAATTTATATCTAAAAGTTTGCAAACAGATTTTCTAAGAAACCCTTGATTTTTTTGTGGTTTAATCTTTCTGAAATAAACAAATTCTTGTGAAACTAGTCAACAAAATCTAATTGAAAATATCATTATAATTTTTGAAATTCTTTGTTATGAATAGATAATGTCATTCTCGGACTTTTTCACACATTTGCTTGTACTGAAAAGTAACACCATTAAAAGAATTGACAGCTTAATATGTACTTTAAAATACTGTCTTGTGGAACTTCAGTATTCTGCTATCAGTTCATAAGCAATAAGTTTAAATGATCAAAAATAATATTTTCAAATTTTCCAGTTTGCCCTTGAAGAAGAAAGGTCCATCTTTCGAAAGCCCTCAGATTATAGGGTTTTTATGATCTAGTTTCAAGACTTCTTGAGCCTATGTGTTTTTTGACATTATGAATGTTTTCAAGTATTATAGTTTAAATTTGAATATTCAAATATTCAAAAAGATTAAAAGTTAAAAACTGAAACAGCTGAAAACAATCTAGTTTTCATTCTTTTTAATGGCAAACTAGACCATAAAAGAATTGAAAATTTGTCAAAAAGAAATGAATATTATTGTATGAGATTTTTGGCTGTAGTTAATTGCTACATATATTTTTATTTCCAAGTGAAACATTGTGCCCAAACTTTCCTATAGTTGCAAATAAAATATTAAAATTGAAAACCTTCCTCTGAATTTTTGTTTAGATAATGTTTTAAAATTTCAGCTTTTATGGATAGAAACAAAAATATATAAATTGTTTTTTATTGTTTCATATAGTTTCCCGAGTTACTTGTAGCCTCTTATAATAACAATGAAGATGTACCTCATGATCCTGATGGTGTGTGTCTTATCTGGAATCTGAAATTTAAGAAAACCACCCCTGAACATATTTTTCATTGTCAGGTCAGTGAAAAAGTTTGAAATCCTTTTAAAATTGCTTTTCTGTGTTCTAAGTTTCATACATTAATATTACTGTTATAAGTTATTTAAGATTTACTAAGTCTGTGTTCATGTTAATTATGTTATTTTCAGTCTGTACTGTATGTTGATATGTTTAGACTTAGATATTTCATAAAGGTTCAAATTATGACATAACAGTTTAAGATAGCTTAGACATCCATCTGTTTGAAATCAGATCAGTTGCATTGTTTTGAAAGTGAACGTAGTAAAATAATGCAATCGATTTGATTTCGAACACAGTATCCAAATTGATAAATTTGGGAAGAACTGATTTCACAACTAATCAAAATCAAGCTATTGTTTTGACTTTAATATTTTTATTCTGTTGATTTGATCAGCCTGAAAATCTAAATCATCCAGATTCTAATAATTTCTAAAATTGTTGCAAAACTTACATAAAATTCACATCAGATTCAGGATTACCTATTTGTTTATTGCTATAATTTATTTGTAAACTGCTGATCTCCTTCTAACACTGTAGTTTTTGAAGAGAAAAACATACAAGCTTTATTTATTTTAGAACTTGGTTATTGATTTTTAACTTTACATTTTCATTTCAATACTTTTTCTTTATGAGAACAAGAAAATAATAAATTATTATCTTTTTAAGTCTTTTCAAATGACTGGTTAAGTTTAAAATATTTTGAAATAATTATCTTGGTTTAAAAAAGAAATGGAGAATTAAACAACAATATAACAAATAAAAATGTGTGATATTTCATGGGTAATACTTTAATACACCTATTAGTGATGGTTGAAAGCTTTTTTTTTTGAGAACATAAGGATGAAATTGGAATGAACATATTTTCCATATAATGGAAGTGTTTTGTGTGAATTCAAATAAAATACTTGGCTCCTTCTGAAACTAGAATATTTTGTAAGAAACATGTTTGTTTTGATTGTATTATTTCGTGTACTTGTTATTATGAAGTTAAAATAATGAAACATTATATTTACTGTTGTACCTAAGGCAGTTTTGTTTTTTATTTTTTCTAAAAATTTTAAATGTTTTCAGTTTTTTTCTTTTCAGGTTGTGGATAATTTCAGTATATTTTTCTTGGTGCTTGATAACTAAAAATTATTAGACCAAGTATCATAAACCTATTTGCATGTGATAAAGGGTGAAAATAATAGGCATTCTGAACCTGCAATAATTTTAAACCTCTGTTATTATGTGTAATATATTTTAGAAAAGCTTATGGTTGAGATTAACACAACCTGTTGTGAAAATATATCAGCCAGTAATCAATTGCTAGTGTATCCAGTATTAAAATTTCTATGCAATATAAACATAGATTGAGAATTCTTAATATGATGAGAGAATATCCCAAAGTGTGTGTATACATAAAAACCAGTTTGGTTTTGACTGAGAAGTAATGTCAAAGGGTAGGAAATATTTTAGTAATAATACCATTAAAAAAAACAGTAATGTTTTATGTGTTACCTAGAGTATATGCTGCTGACATGTTTAGTATGGTTTTCATACAAGAACCACAAAACAAAACAAAAATTGAATTATATATTTTTATTATGGCACCATTACTGAAAACTTCAACAATGTAATAAAGTAACGGAAATACAGTTAATCAATCAACGATTGACCTAAAAAAGTTGTGGCAATGAAATTCTATGTTTCTTGTTTTAAAAATATGTTAGAATGTTATTTTAGAAAAATATCACTGCTGTTGAAAATATCTGTCAGACTAAGGGTTGAAACAGTTTAGACTAGTTTAATCTGAAACTTGTGCTGAACATATACTCATGTAAAAACTGTTAATTTGATGAGCTGAGTATACATTCTAATAAACATAGCAAAGAAGTTTATAATGAAATTACAAACTATTTTGCTAAGAGTTTCAGTTGAATACAAATGTAATAAGTGAGCAACCATTTGTCAAAGAAGTCAGAGTACTAAAGTGGGTTTGGAAATTCATATAAGTAAATTTACTTGAACAGAAATACAATACAGAGATTTATTTGAAAGCAAATAATATCTTGCTATAAAGTTGTTATATTTTATGACTAAATATCTCATTATATTATAATCAGTTCCATAAGTTTTGTTCTGTTTGAATCAACAATTTCTTTTTCATTGGTGGAATAGCTATATTGAATTAAAATTCGTTAGCTAACAACATTATAATAATTTTTTTTTTTACATCTGATAATCATAATTACTTGAGAAAGACCATTTTTCCTACTATTTTTATTTCTGTTGGAGGTGTAAAATTACTTGATTTATCTTAGATAAGTTTTTTAGACTAATATTTTTATAAGTTAGTATAATAAATAATTTATCAGGTGTCTCTGATATTCTATTATTTGATCATATAGTCTCCAGTGATGGCAGCCTGCTTTGCAAAGTTTCACCCTAATTTGATACTTGGAGGAACGTATTCTGGCCAAGTAGTACTATGGGATAACCGAAGTAACAAGAGAACACCAGTTCAGAGAAGTCCACTATCTGCCTCAGCACATACAGTAATGTATCACTTGCTTTAGATGTTTTTATTTAATTTTTAATATATTTTCTGCTGTAATTGTTGTCTCTTCTGTTCCTCTTTCTTTCCTCATGCTTTAATTTGTTTGGAACTTAAATATGTTCTGTTCTTGAGACAGCTCTGTAGTTGTTGGTCAATCTGCTGATGCCTCCTTTGCAATGACTTTGTGAGTAGGTTGTTTTTATATCTTTTATTATATCTCTTATTGGTTATTCTTTGCAACATCTGTTGCTAATTGCAAATATATTTTGATAAGATGGTTTTAATACATGTCTGTTGTGTATTAAGTCTTTCAAAAGATGCTCATTTAAGTATAAAAGCCCTGCCTTTCTTTTAGTTTTATTCCATCACTAATTTTCAAAATTTTACCAGTGTGTTTAAAGAATAAACTTATGTCAGTTTTTGATTAGCCTGTGAAGTAACTGTACCTCTTAAGCCTTTTATTTTAGAAGATTTGATCACTTTCATACATGCTTTGGTATATCTTGCCACACCTTTTTTTCTTTTCTTTTTTAAAAATTTATCATACTGTTAAAAAGTTTTTGTTATTCAGGAAAACTGGATGTCAGTATTATCCACATTTACTGAATTTTTTTTATTTCTTCATATTTTAATAATCAAAATTTGACCACAGTTGTTTACTGGAACATAAACGTTAATCATTATATATACACACTAAGGTTTTATTCAAACATTTGGACACTTTATCTTGATTGTCTTGTTTGAATAAAATATTATTTGATATGTTTATTTTTATTTTTTGCATAATTTGCTATCAAAATTATGGTACTTTTTTTTTCATTGCTAGTATATGTGATGATGATGTCTTACTAAAGTCATCTTTCTGATCTTATACAATACCTGCATAGTGTACATTTGAATTTTAAGACATTTATGAGCTCTATCTGAAATTCTACCCTTGAAGTTTTTCATCAGCTTAGGACTTTTAGTTGAGTCATTCACAAAGCTCTGAAACTGTAGACATTTATTTCTAGAACTTGTTGCCAAATAAGTAATTCAGTTGTTTTTAGTTTCTAAATTTTTGGTATCACTTAAAAAAAATTACAAAAATTGTTCAAATTAAATTACAGTTTGTACTTTTCTAAACTTTAAAGTAAACCCCAAAGTTTGAAATTTAGTTTCTCCTAAGTCAGGTATCACCGTCAAGTTGCTAGAAGCTTTAGTAATTCATTTGAATGAAAATATATATATGAAATTAAGATTGTTTCACAGTGTATAAGTGTTAATTCTCTTTTTTTAATACCTTTGTTCACTCTTCTGAACACTGAATGTTCTTTTGAAAACTAAAAATAATAACAAAACTGCATCTGAGCTATGATTCAATCACAATTTTTTAAACTTGCAGTTAAATCTGACTTTGGGGAAAGTGCAGGTGAACACTGATGGTCTAATATATAAAAGTATGCTATTAAAGCAACTTAAATATCTAGATATTTGATATTTTACAGCATCCTGTGTACTGTGTGCATGTTGTGGGAACCCAGAATGCACACAACTTGGTCAGTATTTCTACTGATGGCAAGTTCTGCTCTTGGAGCTTAGACATGCTTTCAACACCTCAGGTTTGTTAAAAATTGACATTTGCCCAACTTTGTTTATATAATGCTCCTTTTCCTTGGATTTATTTAAATATTAGTATTGTTATATCCTATGTAATTTTAAGTTACATATTCCCAATATTTAATAATGAATTAAATCAATGAAATGTTTTATATTTGTTTTAGTTTATTTCTGATGAAAAATGTTAACTTTTCATAGCATACTTGAGAATGCATTAAATCAATAAAATGTTTAGTTGTTTTAGTTTTTATTTCTGATTAAAATTGTTAACTTTCCATGTTATTTAACATACTTTTTATATATTAAATCAGTGAAATATTTTATACTTGTTGTAGTTTATTTGTAATGAAAAATATTAATTTTATTACCACGTAACTTATTTGAGAATGCATTAAATTAGTGTTGTATTTTTGCTTTAGTTTATTTGTTATGTGCTATATCTGTGAATGTTTAATTAACTTAATGAAATAACACTTACATATTTTAGTATATTTCCAAATATAGCTTACATTATATAACATCTAATTTGTCTCTAGATCAGTTTAAAATTGACAGATTTTTCAGCTAATTTCAACCTTCTACTGTCTTAGCTATTCATTAAATACGTGTTTTAATATTTCTTGTTGCAAAGTTGACTTTGAAGATATTTTGAGTATTAGGGGGAAAATTTACATAGTAGAAATAAAATATACAACTTATCTCCAGAAAAACAACTTTTGTTAATTTATTTTTTATCTTATTCAAATTTTGCCATGCTTATCTTTATTAGCAGAGTAGTATATTTTAATTCTAAAATTTTTATGGCCCTTCAACATATAATTCATTCACTCAAATATAAAAAAGTTAATTTTTTGTCAACTCTGTAATATAATTCTGATACATATTAATCTCTCTTCTCCTTTGTAGTTGAAACATTGTGAGTTATTGATGTTTCTTGTGTTGACATGCTGTTTATATGTCTTTAGCTTAACAAGTTGTGATATATTCTCATGTATAAATTGTTTAAAAGTTTATATTTTAAAATTATTTAATATTTCAGTTATTAGTGTTTTTGACTTATCTCCCCTAATTGTTTTAATACCACCTATACCTGCAAATTCGGTAAACTTGTGTTGTCAGAAAAAAATGACCCATTGTTAAAATAGGTTGTTTTTTTTTTTTGCAGTTTTCTCTCTTGAGCAATGTCATTGCCTGAAAACATGATGATTTAACCTATTTTTAGCTTCATTGGACCAAAGGCTGCTCCAAATCGATTGATCAAAATTGCTGGAGACTACTTCAACAATTGCCAAAAAATTGGCAATTCTAATTTAAAATGGAACCTTTATCTTGCAAATTTAAAATCTTCAAGATGTTCAAAATGCTTACCATGTGCTCATTATGTTGTGAATGTGATGAATTATCAATTTCTGCTTGGGGGGTAGCAGCCAAAAAATGTATTGACAAGTATTAATAATGCAACAAACAGTAGAGGAAAATTACTACCGCCAAATAACAATGAGAATATAGTGAATATCAATTATAAAGTTGTACATGATGAAAACAACAATATGTATTTTATTGGTAATGACATTTCAGCCTTAACTGAAGATAGAAATGATGACAAAGAAAGTGATTACATTATGAAAGAATGTAAAAATGTATATAACATTAAAGGTGTTTTCAGAATAGATGTTTCTTTGAAAAGAAATTTACCAAGACCAAAAATCAGATGAAAGTGAATCCTTTAATTCTGTTGATGAAACAAGTCGTATAATTACCTTGAGCACTTCAGTACTAAAGAAAATATGCTCTGTTATCTTACCCAATGATGCAGACCAATTATTGCTTAATATAGAAAAATAAATTGTCAAAGATAGCATAGAAACCAAAAAAAATCATTATCCAGTAACAAGTTAAAGAAAAATATAGTTGAAGTACAATCAAAACTTCTACTGAGTTTTTTTTTCCAGAATAAAGTGTTATTAGCTCCATTGTGTGTTTCTCTACAACAAATTAATGAAGTGTTTGTTTGTGTAAAATCAATATCAAAACCCAGAAGACAACCTGATGTTTGAGTTTGATACAGTATTTTGTAAACACATTCCAAATGAGGCTGTTTGCAATTGCAGTGCTAGTTATTTAACATTCCTAATGAATAGCTAATATTCATTGATACATCAGTCTTTATGTAGCCATATTTTAATTTGTACTTAATATTTTGATTGAAAAAAAAAAGGTGTAAAATCCTTATCATTAGTACTTTCGTTTAGTATCCTATCCACAATTGCATTCCTAGATTGGTGATCCTATCCCTGGTACAAAATGTTACTCAATATGACAGGTGTTAAAAATACCTTGAAATATTATTTTCAGATTGAAGTATGTTTTTTACAGGACACTATGGAATTAACACACCAGAAACAATCACGGGCAGTAGCAGTGACTTCTCTGTCTTTTCCTTATGGAGAGTTTAATAATTTTGTTGTAGGAAGTGAGGAGGGTTCTGTATATACAGGTATTAAAACTTTCTTTCTTGAAATGTGTTTCTTTAGCAGAGTATTAGTGTTTATATGCGTATGAATTTTATATTATGTTAATATAATTAGATTGTAAAAGGCAATAAATGCCAAAATTTCTTACTGTTAATTCTGGACTTTAATAAATATTATTAGAAAACTTACTGAGCTTGATCTATGTAAAATAATAATAAATCAAACCTAGATCTGAAATCTTTTGCCATAACAGATTTTAGACTAAAAGTCATGTGGCTAGACAGGTAAAAAAAAAAGAGAACAAATAAAATCACACACAAAGAATTAAACTTGGAAATGTTATTAAACCTCATAATGATAAGAAAATTGAAAATGTGTAACAATATGTATTCATTTAGTTATATGTTTTGTACATATAATTGCTTCTTTGTTTCTTGACATTATAAAGTAACCCATGTTTATTTGGGCCTTTAATATCTCAGACTATAATTTGATTATTAACACAAAGTTTGATAACAAAAAAATATTCATGTCAAATAAATGAGTACAAATGGAGTGGTGTATTGATAAAAGTATAATAAAATAAGAAACTTGGAATATCTAATTTAAATGAAAATTTATTACATGCTGTGAATTCATTAAAATAATAAAGAACCTTATTTGGCTTTGTGAAATAGATTACTTAATCTTGTTGAATTTGGTGACTGATTCCAGCATGTCGACATGGAAGCAAGGCTGGAGTGATGGAGATGTTTGAGGCACATCAAGGCCCTGTGACAGGGATCGATACACATCGTGCTCAGGGTCATATTGATTTCTCTCATCTGTTTTTGACTTCTTCCATAGATTGGACAGTTAAATTGTGGAGCTTGAAGGTTTGTTTTTGGGAAAAGAATGCTTGTGAACTTTTACATTGTTTTTAGATAGTGAACTTTGTGATCTTCTGCTACATTTATTCTTTTTTGTGGTTAGAAAACATTTTTATTGTAGTTTGACAGTAGTAACTTTAGATAATTGATTTGAAACTGTTGGGTTGATAACAGTTGGTTTTATTTTATTTATTTTGTAAATGATACCAAATGTATTACACAGATCCATACTTTTTTAAGTTAGTTAAACTTAAAGTCAAATTAAATTATTTTTGCTTTGGTTTTCATACAATGTTCAGTTTTAGGGTTAAATCTCTAAGGGTAAAAAATTGTTCAGTTACCTACTTTTTTATACTTTTTACTATTGGTGTGGCCCACATATTGCATTATATTTAGTAATTATGTTTTTGCCTGTTACAACGCTCGGGTAGACAAATGACCAAAACAAGATGGGTGGAATCACTAATTTTCTATATAAAATATATGGGAGATCCCAGTAGTAATTAGTAGGATTAATTGCAATATGGGTTGTATTTTTGTTTAAATATTGTGTATGACTCATCTGTTACTAGAATGTAACCAATAAAGTCTTGGACCCACAGGCAAATTAATACATAAGTAACTTAAAAAAACTGTTCAGAAAGCCAATGACATAGACCCCATCAGTAAAGTTAAATATTCATCCTGTAAGCTCTAGTATAATATTAAAATTGCAGTTTGAATGTATTAACAGTTATGGCTTTAATTATTTGTATCAGAAAAATTACAAAGACTCAAAATTATCTGAGATGCATTCAAGATATGAAAGCAAAACCAGTGAACAAATTGTTAAAGTATTTTTTTTTCATGATATATTGTACATGTTTGTTTTGTATTGCATATAAGTTATTTGTCATAAGAAATATGTTACTAATAATAATGGCATAACAGTTATGACTTCTGGAAATGCATTTTCCTGTCATGAAAAAATTTTGATAATATTTCAATATTATCAAATGTTGATAATGTTAGAACTGAAAAAGAAAAATCCTTGTGATTTAGCAGTCTTCAGATATTAAGACTTAATTTTTTTTCTTTTTTTGTCTCTTATAATTAAAAACAAAATTATTATTTGTCAACCACTAGAGCCCAGTTCTAATAGGGAGTAAGCCCACCTGCAATATTAATCATAACCTGGACTCTCTTACTAACATTTGCTACTAACCATTGGTAGAAGTCCTAAATAGATCACCACTCTTGCATACCACATTTAAGTGTATTGAGACCTTGGAGTCTGTCTTGATGAGATTCAGGTCCAGGCTTTATCCTGGCCAAGACCATTTTCACACATTACTTGTTCTTACCACTTTGGATGTAGTGTGTTCTGTGACAATAATTCCCAACTTCTTTCACTCTACAAACCAATAAAATCCTTGTAAAAATCTTATAGTTCGTGATCCAGCTGTTGACAATAATGAAAGGATAATGTGCTAGTTAACTAAGAATTAGCAAGAGTTTTTTTTTTAATATAACTTCTTCAAGAAGCTTTGAAGAGAGATTCACTTATCTTACAGTGAACTAAGATGGAAACAACACTTTCTGTTTATTCTTAACATCTGTGCAAATTAGAAAATTTCTCAAAAATTCAATCTTTTGCAATACTTTTTTCCCTCATTGTACATTTCTGCAGACTGACAAAAACATCCACAGACCAGTACCGATCCACAGTTGAGAACCACTGCTTTACGATGGTACATCATCATCATACTTGGGATTTACAAGCCACATGTACTTATTTGATGCAAGTGTAGATAACCATTAGAAAGAGCTAATTTTACACTGTAACCCAATAATAGTTATTTTGAAATTGATGCTCTCGTTATCGGGTAAATGTAACTGCTAGTAGTATTGTTGGCTGCTTTGTCCCCAATAGCACTTGTGGTTGTTTCTTACCTAAATATGTTACAGTTAGAGAAAAAATTAAATTGTATTTAAGTTTTACTTTTATATTTTAGTTAATTATGTATTATTTATGTCTTAGAATGCATAATTGAAAGATCTAAATATTTTTTATATATATCTCAAACTTTGCCTCAATTTTCAAATTTTATGATATTGAGCGAGTGCGTGAAAATTTTGCCAAAGGCTTATGCACCTCTTCTAGAGATACTGTAATATGTCTTGAGGGCACTGTTGACTTATGTCAAGATGAATAATAAACAGTAAAGGACAGGAAAAGAAAGAAAGCATTAAAAATTAACGATTTGTGAAAAAGAAAAGACCTGAAATTATGAATATAACCAAAGGAAGATTTATATAGATATTCCACGAAAAATTAAAAGGTATGTACATGTTACTATTTCTTAATTTTTAAAAACATCATTGCAATTAGTGATATGATAAGGAAAATGAAATATAAACATTTACCTTACAAAAACTTTTGATATGTTTTAGAGGTTATGCAAATAAAACTCAAACTGTAAGATGAAGAATAGTATTTTTATACTTAAAATGAAAATCACCTTGCACTTGCCCCCCAGTGGCACAGCGGTATGTCTGCGGACTTACAACGCTAGAAACCGGGTTTTGATACCCGTGGTAGGCAGAGCACAGATAGCTCATTGTGTAGCTTTGTGCTTAACTTCAAACAAAAAAAAACACCTTGCACTTAAACTATTCAGAGATTGAGTGAAATAACTACAATAGATGAATAATATAGATATATATATATTTTTAGTAGAAAGACTTCTACAATTAAAATAATGTCATTCTTTATGTACAAGATATTTATGATCTTTAACAAATCTTAATGGTTTTTGTGAGGATACGTTAAGAAAGCTCAGAGTTACCATATGTATTGTTGCACAAGTATCCTTCCCCAGTCAGGCTCCTGCAAACTTCAGGAGGCCCTTGTGGAAAGGTTATATATGTCCTGAATGATATTTGTTAATGGATAACTCTAAAGAGAAAATCAAGGTATCTTTTTTTTTTAATACACTTATATTCATTAAATGTTAGTTTGGTCCATGTTAGTGTTTTCCAACTGTAGTTTTTTTCTCTTTTATTTTAATTATTTAATTATGTCAGGGCCAAGTATTGACTAGTTGAAATATATTTTGTACAATCTGTTCTATGTGAATAACAAAAAAAATTTAGTGTATTATAACATTTTTGTAAATTTTTCAATTCTCTCTTTAACTTTTATTTAATATTTCTTGATGGAAACGATGTAAAAAATTTATATATATATATGAATGTTTGTGACATAGTTATGATGTATCCTTAGTTCATGGAATTTAAATAACTTGTAAGCCTTTTCCCCCAACAAATTCCACACAAATCATTTAATGAAGTTTTGTGCAATGTAAATCAGATTTACACTAAACTTCATCAAAATAATGCTATTGGTGAACATGTGCTAAAAATCTGACTAAAATTAAAAAAATATCCTATGCATTACTTTAGTACTGAAGTTAGGTGTTTTGGATAAAGGCTTCAAAATAGAAGTATTATTTCATTTGTGTGATTTAATAATTGTTTATTCATTCACAATTGATATTACTTGTCAAAATACTCTTTGTAAGACAGTTGTTTTTACATATGCACAGTCATTGACAGAAGCATAATATTTTTTTTCTGTAGGAAAGCAAGCCAGTGTACTCATTTGAAGACAATGGAGACTATGTGTATGATGTGAGTTGGTCACCTATACATCCAGCCTTGTTTGCTTGTGTTGATGGCATGGGTAGACTTGACTTGTGGAACCTAAATAATGACACAGAAGTGGGTGAATGCTTTTTTATTTTTATTTTACAAAGATTATCTGTATATGTAATAAACAAATTAGAATAATGTTTTTCTTTATCTATGGTTTATAGATTAATAAACTTTCGTGAATATGTATTATTGCTCCAAAATTGTAAGAATAACAGTGGTTTCACAATGATGTATATCATTCCTAATTTTATAATTTCTATAAGTTAATAAGGGAATGTGTGCCACAGGAACACTAATTACAGCCGGGGTCCAGGGATTGCCTTAGAATTCTGGATTACATTTCACATATTCTTCTTTTCCTGAGAGTAATTTTTATAATTTTGATGCATTTTTACTGCAATACATTAAAAAGGCCTGTTCGTGTTTCCTATGCTACTGGCGTGAGATTTTTAGAGTAAGAAGTTCTACTGAAACAAAGTCCTACTAGTAAATATAATAAAATAATCTTATATGCATTTTAGTATTGAGTTGTATTTAAATAGTTTAACTGCACCATGACATTTTTTTGACTAGCTTCCAACAGCCAGTGTAGTTCTTGATGGAAGTCCAGCTTTAAACCGTGTGATGTGGGCCCCTGCTGGTCACCAGGTGGTTGTTGGTGATGATGCTGGCAAAATTTGGATCTATGATGTTGGAGAGGTAAGTGTTGAATTTAAAAGTTTTGTTTATTTTGAAAAGCAAACTCTATTTATGGTATTAATATATAACAGTAGATTAAGGCAAAATAATGTTTTTTTTGTTTTTACTTAAAGCATACCTGAAAATGTTCATAATTACTGATTCTAAATATATTTCAATTTCAGTTGATTTTTAAAGTTTTCCAAGCCAGGTCTGTTGTAAAGAAATAGTTTTAACTTGTAGAAAGTTGGCAAGTCCTTATAAAAGACAATATTCTATAAAAATTCATTATTTTTAAAACATTGGTAAGTTATTGCAATTTTTTATTAGGTTATTGAATCACAAATTCAGTTTTTTTTTAAAACACTGTAATAATTGGGAATGCTAATTTCGCTTAGTTGGTTATTTTTGTCACATTTGATGTTTTTTTTTTTTTTTACAAAACTTTCTTGTATAGCTTTATTTACAGACTAATAACTTGGGTCAGGCATGACCCACTGGTTAGCTTGCCTGAATTATGAATCTGAAGGTTCATGGTTTGCAACCTGTTACTGCAAAAATACACTCTGCACTTTGAGCCATTAGTGCTTCATAAGAGTAATGGTCAAATTGCACTATTTGATCAAACAAGTAGCCCAAGAGTTTGCTGTGGGTACTCATGACTTCAGCATTCTAGTTTATTATTTCAAAAATTAGGGAAAGTTATACCCAGGTAGCTTTTATATAGCTTTGAAACTTAAAAAATAAACAGTAATAATTAAATTATTAATTTAGACGTCACTGCAAAGTTACTGATCATGCTTTCAGCCAACTTATTTAAACTAAATATTTCTTAAGAACTTTGAAATATTTGGTAGTTATTATATGTTAAAGAGTTGAGAACAACAATCCTTGGGTCAAATCAGTAAATTTGTTATAATGGTAATGTAATTTTAAAGACCACATTAACATCATAATACCACATTTAAGAACATTGAGATTTGATTTTAAATATTACAACAGGTAACTCGCATTCTTTTATATTACCTGTTTTTGAATGCCTTTTTATATTGCGATCTTTGTTGTTAAAGTAATTTTTCTACGAACAGTTTTTCCCACGTATGCATTTCAAAGCATAACTTGTGCACTTTTATCAAGAATGCTTTAAATACAATGCACAGTACCATTATGACCAACATAGTTGTGGTTGGTATTACTGTAAGTCATGGCCAACATAGTTGTGGTTGATTTCAGTAGTGCTGACCTAATTCTTTGAAAAGTAACTAAAAAAACTTCTTTTTTGAGTCCGTTCATCAATGATTTACTAGCTTTGATCAGAAGTGGGTTTCTTACTTTAATTAGTTACCATCTTTTTATTAAAGACCTAAATTGGGTTTTGGCAAATTTCACTGTGTCATATGCAAATTAGTTTTAAAGCATCACTCTCTTGATCAGGAAATTTGTGAAATAAATAAAATAATTTATTTCTGGACAGCAACTGGCAACTCCCAAGAGTGACGAGTGGACCATGTTCATGCATACTTTACAAGAGCTAAAGAACAATCAGGTGGACCAAGATTTGGATGCTCTTACATCATTATCATCCTCGGGTTTTTCCTCAGGAATACGTTAACTTATTTTAATTGTAGTTGAAGTAATCTATTTTATTATTTATTATAACTGGCCTTGCACTAATTAGTACCACATGCTAAAGTGGTAAAACAGGTATGTCTTACACATTGAATACTCTGTTATGGCAGCTGGGAAAAATTAATCATGCTAATTGTGCTTATAAAGCAAATATTTCCCTTATTTTATCAAACTGGTAAAATAAGTAGCTTATTGTGATAAAATAGTTTTCAAATTTAAATTACAGCCATTTTCTCTGGTTTTTCCAATTACAAAAGAGAACTCAGTGTATGCTGTTAATAAAGTTATGTATTCAGTGCAAAATTTGATGTGTGTGTATATGTTTTTTTATTTCTAGCAATCACTTAGTATAGCTTGTCTGAAAAATAATCGACACACACACACACACGCATATATATACACTGAGTGGTCACAAGTAAATAGACACCTAATTTTTCGTCATTTAACTGATTTATGCTAACTAATTTGTGTTCACAGAGCACTATATGAATGAAAATGGTTCGCACACTAATTATCTTGTGCTACAACATGCCTTAGAACTCAAGGTTCTCTTGAATTGTCAGATTTTGTTAGAGGAAGGATAGTTGGTCAAACAGATGGTGGAATAAGTCAGCGGCAAATTTAGCAGAATTTGGGAATCCTGCTTTCGACAATCAACAGAATCATCGTGCAGTTCAAGAAACATGGCAAGGAAACAACTGAGCAGCGTCCGGGTCCATCAGAGAGGACAAAAAGCGCTGTCAAGAGGAGCATCGAAATGGATCCTAGATTAAAGACTGCAGAAGTGGCCAAAGTTGGTGGGATGAGCCCGAAATCTGTTCAACGGATTCTCCACAGATTGGGTTATCGTTGCAGAGCAGCTAGACAGAAGCCCTTATTAAGACCTGCCAACATAGTCAGACGAAAGAAGTGGGCAAGTGATATGATGACCAAGCCTCTGGACTTTTGGAAGACCGTATTGTTCTCAGACGAATCAAGATTCGCTCAGTTTTCGGCCAGTGGAAGGATATGGGTCTGGAGAATGCCTCACCAAGAGTTTTGGCTCAACAGATTGCAGCCAACTGTGAAGCATGGTGGTTTCAGCGTGATGGTTTGGGGAGCTGTTTGGGTTGTTGGGAGATCGAGCTTAGTGGAGTGCGTTGGCAACATAAATTTTGCGAAATACGTCGATATATTGGAGGAAGGACTCGTGCCACTTTATTCCTCGGGTGGACAAGAACACAACGTTGTTCCAGGAAGATGGAGCACCGTGTCACACTGCTAGAAACACCCAAAAGTGGTAGGAAGAAAATGGTATCCAGAAGTTGCCCTG